TCCAGAGAGAGGGCAGGAAGGAGGACAGGAAGGCAGGCAAGAAGGAAGGAAGGAAGGAAGAGGGGCGTGTGTGTGTGTGTGCGGGGGGGGGAACCAGAAGGGAGGCCTTACCTTTCCGCACCACTTGGGGGCCGCCTGGTCCCTTGGCCTCCCGAGGGCCCTCTGGAACGACGGGGGGGCCCTCCGCTGCGCCCGGGGGGCCGTGGGGGGCGGCCCCCACTTCAGACCCCTGGCCGTCGCCTTCCAACCCCGAGGGCTGGACACCCCCTTCCTCCGGGGGCTCCCCCGGGTCCCAGGGCTGGCTGGGGCCCTCCGTGCAGGGGGTGGGGGGCAGCTCCTCGTGGGGCTCCGTCTGTCGGCTCTGCAGGAAGCTGTGGAGAAGGAGGTGGCGCAGGGTCTCCACTAGAAGGGGGGGGGAACGAGAAAAATGCAGGGCACCTTTTATTCCCTCACCCCTTTCTCTCTCGCATTCCTGACGATACTGGGGGGGGGCGCCAAGGGCAAGGGGGCAGCTAAGGCTAAAAACGGAGGGGGGGGCCTCAAAAGGCAGCATCAGATCGCATCAGACCGCAGGGCCACGGAATCCAGCCAATGACCTCGTTAAGATCACCCCACGTCAGATCAGTCTAGATGCCCCCGCCTTTCGAAGACCCCTCCTCGTCCCGCCTTCACGAAGGCAGCCTTTGCCTGTGGGTTGGAGGGCAGCTGCCCAGGGGGAGGCAGGCGTCCAGTGGGAGGGAGTTCCATAGCTTCAGAAAGGCCCCAAGGTCCTCTCCCACGGCCTCCCCCAAAGCCAGAGCATCCAGGAATGCTCTCCTGCCTCGGGCGTCGGAAAGGTTTGCATTCCGAGGCGACCCCCAGGAAACTGAGAAGCAGCCACAGAAGGGAGAGGACACCCCCCCCGGCCGAAGGGGTCCCATCTGGAAAGGAGGGGGCAGACGGGGAGGCTTGCTGGCTGGCTGGCCCTTGCTCTCCCCCTGCCTCGCGACCCAGAGATACCAAAGGGGATCCCAGCGTCTCCAGGCAGCCACCCAGAGCCCAAGCAGGGCGGGATGTGGGCAGGATCCCCCAGGCCTTCCCTTCCTCAGCGCAAGGGACGCCCGCCCTCTCCCAGGCCCTCACCGTCCTCCAGGGCCGACTCCGCCATGCTGGCTGAAAACACCGGGAGCTCCCGAGTGTCCGGCAGGGGGGTCCAGCTGGGCTCCTTCCCCCCCTCTAGAAGACACGCCTCTTCTTCCAGAGGGAACGATCCAAACGCACCGGCCGGCCGGCCTTCCTCCTCCTCCTCCTCCTCCTCCTCCTCTTGCTTCTCCTCTTCCTCTTCCTCCTGGTGGCCTCTCCCCCCCGGCTCCCCCAGGACGAGAGGCTTCTCCTCCGAGCGGGCATCGGTCGGGGTCTCGTCTGCCGTCAGGGGAAGGAAGGGGCAGCAGCTCAGGGAGGGTCTTGCCCCAGAACCCCCAACCCCACCTCACCCAAACCGGGGAGGGGGGCCGAGAGGTGGAGGGCCGCGGCCAGAGGGGGCTGCCCTCCCGCCATCCAGGGAAGCCTCTTTCCAGCGGCCGGTGGCTGGCCGACCGACAGGACATCCCCAGAGAGCAGGGCGGCTCCCCCGTCCGTCTCACCTGAAGCCTCCTCTTCTGCCTCCTCTTCCTCCTTCTCCGCCTCCTCTTCCTCCTCCCGTCCCTCCTCTTCCTCGCCCTCCTCTGCTTCTCGGCCGGACATGCAGCTCTCCTGAGCCAGGCCCGAGGGAAGGCCAGCCTCCTGGAGCCCCAGACTTGGGGAAAGAAAGTGTGTGTGTGTGTGTGGATTGGGTCCAGCACTCTCCGGCTTCCCCTAGGGACCCATGAGTCCCCAGGACGCCCGCTCAGCCCTCCCCCATGGCTTCCTTCCCTACCTGGAGGGCGCCGGCGGGGGCAGGGGCAGCTCTGGGGAGGATGGCACAGGGTCACTTGGGAACAAGTATCCCTCAGCCCCCTATACTGATGGTCAAGTATTCCTACGTCCACCCCTGCGGTTTCAAACAACTGCGAATCTGTTCTCACTAGCAAGCAGCGCTTGACCTCCACAAGAG